GTACATGTGCCCAATATAGAGCCTAGTGCAGTAGTAAGTTTCACTCCGCAACTGTAGGCTCAAACCCACCAGCAGACCGTAGCTGCAGTGCGTAGAAAAAGACAGACCGCTGTAGTTAGGTTGAGTTGAGTGTTGATAGGATAGAGTGGACCTTAAGATTTGGTCTAAAACTTTCAGTCCCGCAGCATCCTTTGCGCCAAGTGCAGTAGCAAAAGAAGGGCCTTGGGTCTCCCAGCCCTGGAAGCTACAAAGTGCGACCTTGGATACGCGCAGCAAAACAGTGGCAAGTGCATCAATTGCTGCGTGCTGTACCAGGGCACGCGCTACCTTGACTACACCAGCAATTCGGACAATCCTGATGAGGCCACCGTTTACGACAAGCTGATGAATGAGCAAAGGGAGTTACGTGGCATAGTACTTGCGCTTGTCGATCAGAACATGTTCAACTCGTCCGTCGATGGTAGCCTCACTTCGCCTATGAGGGAGTGGATGGTCGCAGCGTATTCATCGGTTAGAGGACCAAAACAGAGAAGGGTTGCCCAATTCAGGTTTGTCAGATGCCCACCGCCAGCCCATGCCGTTCAGATGTACAAGCAGGGTAGGGGCTCTTCGTTGAGCATACTCATAGTGACAAATGAGTACGACCTGAACTTCCTTACTGGGCATGACCTCGGCAACGCCGTTTACAGCCAGTGGCTTAAGCGCATCATGACCGAAGCCCAATGGGCCAGAATGTTTGGCGACCACTCAGGTGTGAACGATGAGAGGGCAGGAGACGCAGTTGAGATATGCTTGGCCTTTCTTTACTTCGCCACTCTCTGTCCCTATGAATTTTCGAGTTGATCCTCGTGAGAACTACGCGGGAGTGGAGCATTCTCTTCGCTCATTTGCTGCCATCACAGGTCGCGTTGGAACTGCCAGATCTCCAAGAGGTGCGTTGAGTGCCGGGTTATCTCCTGAAGTCATCAACATGGGAAAGTCGCTTGCCATGGTCTTGGGTATCTGGGCCATTGTCATCACTCTTGAAGATTACAATCTCACCTCGAAGTTCCTTGAAGACCATGAAAACGGGACCAGTCGACGCCTTGAAAGAGGTGAAGATGGAGGATGCAGAGGTCGTGACCCCCATGAGTGCAGAGGAAGTTCCCGTGGAGGAACAAGCTGATTCTGTTATGGAGGATACATCAATGGTGGATGATGATGCGACCAAAAGCGCCTGACGACATGGTCGATGCCTCTCTCCCTAGCAAGGCCGAGAGACCCAGTTGCCACGAAGAAAAGGAAAAGGAAAGCGGCCGAAGCCTTGGGAGAGATCCTGGATTTGGCTGATTCGTTGCAAGTTTGCCCTATATGTTGGGTTGATCATCCTAACAAGATAAGTCCACGTTTGAAAGAGAGCGAGGCGTTGATCCAAACTTTCCTTCGCGTGCAGAGTGCGGGGAAACCGCCCGTTGAGGTTGAAGTCAAAGATGACGCTGAACCTGGTGATGTAGTCAAGGACTCTGAGGGGACTGTCCAAGGTGATGCCGACGTTGAGATGACAATGGATCAAGATGCCGACCTCAATGCAAACAAAGAGGACCTTGATCAGGGTTGACCAACAGTCTTTCCAGGTGTCATCCCCAAGCAGAAGCAACGTCCGGCTCCCAAGATTCAAGAGTCCAGAGATGTTCCAGAAGCAGCTTTGTCAAGTGATCTTCCAAACTTCGGCGGCGGCAATGTCACTCCTCCCCTGGGTTTGTCCCGGGAGTCAAAGTCGAACAAGATTACGAACATGCAAAATCTCAAGAACCAGGTGCCCCAATTCCTGGAGTATTCTGAGCCAAGACCCGTCAGGGACGCGCGCTTCATCAAAGCGGAAGGAGGCATCGACTGGGTCAAGGGCGTGCCGCCGTGTGACGGCGCTGCCAAAAGTCTCAGGATTGTTGAGCAGTTGTCAACGATGCTGCAAAGGAATGAGGATATCGACAAGAAACGACTTCGACTATGGAGGCACGAGTCAGTACCTCATGAAGAATGAGGGACCGTGCTTCACTGCCAGTCTTATGATGCCCAGTATGGCGAGATCATGTCATTTCCTTAATGAAGCCTGTCATCATTTTGGAGCGTACGGCTACAGGGATTGCATGTTCTTGGATGACGAAATCTAAAATATTGGCAAGCGATTGTCCATAAGGCTTCGTCGTGAGTTCCTGAGGGAAGGCCAAAGTAGATCGAGGTATAAAAGACATCATCAATGAGGATAGATTCTGGGAAAGTGTCTACTTCGCGCTGCGCCGTCGTGGACATGAGCATCGTGATCTTCCTGGGAATCGCGTTTGCTACGACGGCAAAAATATGGCGGGACAGACACCACCAACCGATGACGAGCTTATGCGCCACCGCCCCTGGGCCATTACTCTAGCCGTCGAGAATGAGTTGTGGAGTTGGGGCATGCCGATTCTACCGTTTTGCATGCGGATCACCCCAGCCACTTTCACAAGATGCCTTAACTGCTATGCTGAAAGGGTATCGGTTGGGAGATTTATGGATCAGAGTAGTCTGGGTTCGCCCCGCTCTCTTGATTCCGCAATCCTCATTGACGTTGAGATCGAACCGACCGATGAGCACTGAGATGAAATCAGTGGAAGAGCATGCGGCAGGCGTCGATATCAAACAGATCAATGATGAGCCTGAGGAGATTGACCAATATGGCGAACAGGATGACTCCGCCAACGGATACCTCACCGTGTCGAGCAACAAGGCTACTCAGCCTCCTGCTTTATGTTGGAGCACGGAGGAGGTGGCGAAGGTCTTCCATGAAGTGCTCGCCTATCTCATCTTCCAACGCAAAGATCTTCTTGATGACTACGTGGCGCTGAGTTTCAATGAGATGAAAGAGAGGCTGGAAGAGCTCAAGATGCCCTTCGTCACCAAGCCTTTTCATTGTCCCGCCTTCTTGGATGAAGAGTCCAAGCTTCATCGTATCCCCGCCAAGGATGAATATTTCGAGTGGATCCGTGGGGAGGGAAAGAGGAAGTACCAAACTGCCCGAGATGAATGAGTGATCAAGAACAAGTACACGGTTCGCTACAGCTCCTTGCTAATTTGCAAAAATCTTGATCATGGCTACGACGGGCTTCGCGTCCACTCCTACATCTGGGACATCTATGTTTGGGCCTGCGCCGCCATGAACGTCAACGAGTTCCTTTCCCCGCTCATCGCGGTGAACTCAGAGCGATATCAGAAGCTTCGACCCACACAAGGTGAGGGACATCGCAATCTGATCAGCGCCCGGGTTCGCTTGCTTCTTGCAAATGCGCTTGGGGTGAAGAAGTTTAGGTACGCAGCATACCGCAACATGCCCAAAGACCCGATGCATAACGGCATATTCCATATTTGCGTCGAGGGTCTCTTGGAGGCACAGAAAAGACGGGAACGTCTCGATCCCGAAGTTCTGTACATTGGTGTGCAGATGGGCGCCAACCTTGGTCCGGAGCACCAGAAGTTCTACAAAGAGAGATTCGTCGACGTTGTCAATGGGCAGCTCCGTAGCTGGCGAATGTGGGATAATGTGGAGGAATGGCGTCGAAAGGCTCGTACTTCAATGCTCCGAACTGGTCTTGGACAACTCACCGAGGATGTTCAGTACCATGGGCCTCAGTACAATCCCGGCTTTGACCTCAATGCTATGGATGATTAATGGCTTCGAGGTGAAGCCACCTCTCCTTTCCAATCGCCATTTTGGCGCGCAATGGAATGCTTTGGTGCTCTAGGTTCGTCCTAGCACCTTCTGAGAGGGAAAACAATTTGTTTCACAATGTACGGCCTAGGTTCGCCCTGCCGTTGGTTGTGTCTTAGCCTGATTATTTGCTATTTTCTTGGGTGTTGGGGAGTGAAAACTGGAGCTGCTGTTTCCGACTCATTCAAGCAGTTGTAACTCGCCGCGGGGGGTGTAAATTATTACACATTTACCCTCACATTGTGGCCTGCAACTGAGGTAGCAGTTCGTTGGTGCCAATGGTCACGTGTTCTGTTTGGCTCAAGCGCCCCTTAAGCTGTAGAAGCACTGGGAATTATGTATAGCCTTTGCCATTCGCAGTTGACAAGCGGTATCGACTTTGCTGAGCTTTGAGACCGAAGAGTTAAGACAAAGAACCACAAGCTTTGGGTTTGCCTGGTGTGCAAGCTCATTACACAACTGGCCAGTCGCCTTTTTACAACCTGTGTAGACATGAACTTTATTTTACATGCTACTGCACAGCACTTGGATGTAATGAATCCTCCCCCTCCCGACGCATTCGCATTCGAGCTTCCCAGACAAACGCGGAAGTTTCTCCCTGAGCTGTAGTCCTGGCATGAGCAAAAGCCAGGGCCGTAACAAGCATCCAAGTCAAGAAAGTCGCGAGCTAAATTCAGCGGTTTCTGCCTTTTTGATATCAGCAGCTAGAATTAAACACAAGAGGGCAATCTTCAAAATTGCCGGGGATGGCAAAGATCATCGTTCACGGCTGGGAGGTCAGCAAAGCCAGGAGTGTACCAAGAATCGCCATTCTACGTTTGTATTGTCTTGGGGATGCCCGGGCTCAACGAGACCAGTGATACGGCACGAGTTTATTGGCAAAAGTCAGACAGTAGTCGCGGAGTGAGAGGAAAGGAACAAAGGTTTCACTGCAGCTCATGCGGGGCAGATCCTCTGGCTGCCAGGCACTTGTGTGATTCGGTGGAGGCTGGACCTTGCGCAGCACAAACTTCCTGAGTGCTGGGTGAACGTCCATGCAGGTTTCTGGCAGCTCGACTCCTGCACCCTGGCTACGCTAAATGCATTTTTTTGCCACCTGGCAGTCTGGAGAATTCTGCTTTTTACAGCTTTCCAGAGCCCAGGTGAGCGTTGGGCACAATGAGTGCGTTACGAGCTTGGTGATGAACTCTCCAGATTATTTCTGTTCACAGGCAGATGAATAATCTGGTAGGCAAGAAAATATTGTTAGGACATGCCGCTGAATTTTCCACCTCTGAGCGGCTTTCAAATAACTGCTTGGCCCATGCTCGGAGCGCTATCAAAAGCAAGGTGTTAGCACAGTGATTAGTGATTGTATGTGGTGCTTGTGTGTACGTTGTTCATTGAATTTCGAGCTTGGCTTTTGATAACAGTTGTGCAAAGGGCCAGTGCTTTATTTCCATGTGATTGTCAGCCGCTGATCAAAGATCAGCAGCAACAGACCACCGCATGCCCACAAGCTGGGCCTACAGAGTTCAAAGGTCCACTTGAAAGCTTGTTCGCTGCAGTTCTTTGGTCTCAGTAGCGAGATTGAGACGTATGACGTATGTGGATCTTTTTTCTCTGAATTCTTTTGATTTCCGGCGCTCCGGCGCCGCCTCGTCTGACAGGACAACATGCTTCTTCTGGCCGACCAGATCGTTGAGATTGCTTTTTGAGGTGACCCCTTGTAGCTTTGGACAGGGGAAGAAAAAGCAAAGCAATGAGCGCGACAAAGAGAAGCGGCGGCCTTGGACAGAGGAAACTGCGGCATCTCGCTTGTTCCTGCCGTTTGCAATTCTTCAGAAGACTAGCACCAGCATTGGGTAGGTACCAGAGGAATCACTGCCTGACGTTTGCATGCTTTGTTGTGTGTGCCAGGGAACATAGTTGATGAAGGGGCTAATCATAATGCTGCATAAGGATTAGATGATGCTACAACTCTGTCTGGATAGCATCGTCTTGTGATCATGGCAGTCTTCCTGCCATGTTTGCCAGCAGTAAAGTATGCAGGCGTGCCAGGGCCGCATCCTGTCACATTCCTTTGGATGCAAGTAGCGAATGGGTCTCTGCTACTGCTTAGCTAGTTCAAGGGCAGGACTATGCAGGACGCTGGACCCAAGACGCCCGAGAAACTTGTGTGAAAGCCCTTGACTTGTTTGCTCAGGGTTTTGACTTTCAGTGACAGGCTTTTGGTGGACCTGGTACGTTTATGCGAGCTTCCACCATTTAATAGTCTAGTCTCTCGGTGTGGTGGTCTTGAGTGGCACGTGCACTGAGCATTCTCTAAAGTTGAGAATGCTTCCTGAACCTCTCAACTAGGTGCTTGGAGAACGAGGATCAGGCTCAACGCCTCATGGACAGCACAAAGACGATCGAGTTGGGAAAGAATTTGGAGACGCAGAAGGATCCAAAGGTGCAAAGACCCAGCAAGGCCCGCGTTGCGCAAAAGTGCAGCTGTTTGCCATTGCATTGCTCGCTTTGAAAAGTGACCCCTCGTGGCTGTTTTGTCAGAAGAAGCGAACCGAAGAGGCCAGGTCATGCAAACGGACCATGCGCAGTAGTACCTGGGATGGATGAATCCTCTGCTGCGTCCAGCGTGCCAACTCAGAGAGTCAAGCAAGACCCGGCATCTGTCATTGCCTTGCTTCGACTGCACGTCCTCAAATTTGCTAGCATTCGCTGGCATTCGGTGGCTGCCTGCCATGATTGCCAGAAGCTTCAATGCCGTTCCAAACAACAATGGGCATGTTAAGAGGGACGAAAGCAGCAGAAAGACGCTCCTGCTTTTGGTCCGTGCTGCCGCTTCGACAATCCATACCATTCCACAGTCTGGGCAGAGAATTGAGCGCACAGATTCACACATGTCAAGAGCCGAGTAGATGCTCAATGTCCTTTGACTGGTCGCATTTCTCCTTCTGACAACCATCTCTTCTCCTCTCTGCTACTATGAATTCGCTTTGCCTGGGTTGACTTGACACGTGCAGCCAATATTGTTGCTTTACAAGGCTGGGCTGCCGAGTCTACCAGCACCGGGAAGCAAGAAAGATGCTCCGGATGAGGAGGCGCGCTGCAGTCTGTCCTTGCATGTAGACATGTAGACTATATCTCCTCCCAGGCCAAGCCAATTGCTGACAGCGACATCGTGCAGGGCGGCGATGACTTGAATGATATGGCAGACATTTTTCAAGATGATGAGGCGGGACCTTACCTTGATGTGCAACCTACATCTATACTGCATGTATTTGCATCTGCAGACTTCCCGCGCAAGCCAGGCTACTTTGTCAGAGCGCTTGTAATGTTGACAGTGATGGCATGTCACTTGTGCACCAAGATATCTTTGCTGAGTGAAAGCATGCGTGATTTGCGATCATGCTTGGCTGAACATGTACTTGCAGGATCTGGAGTACCCGGACCAGGCCGATGAAAAGCAGGCCGGGATCCTCCTAGGGATAGCTCAAGGAAGCCTGACAGCAGACAGGACAGCCGCGATGCCGAAGACAAATCGGACAAGACGTTGCGGAAGGAGAAGAAGGAGAAGAAGGACAAGAAAAAGAAAGACAAGAAGGAAAAGAACAAGGACAAGAAGGAGCACAAGAAAGAGAAGAAGGATAAGAAGCGAAAGAGAGATGCCGGACTGGATGCTGACCTTTTCGATTGAGTGCGCAGAAAAAGGGTTTGCGACTCACGGCCCAGCTCTAGCTTAGACCTTGCCATGAACATCACGTTGATTTTGGCTCACGTTGATAGTGTGAAAACCCAGCCGATTATGGAAGCAGAGCTTGAACAGTTTTTGCTAAAGGCCTAGGATTGTCACTTCGCCTTCCCGTGCCGCTGCCAGCCTTCGTGAGTTAGGTCTGCGCGTCGCGCGGCTAGCTCGTGGCACGTTCGTTAGGTCAGCGCGTCGCGCGGCTGACGAGTGTCAGGAAGGATCGTTCATTAGGTCTGCGCGCCGCGCCACTGATGAGCATTCCCTTCCCAACTCCTCCCCTCATACTGAACGACTCTGTCGCTGACGTGCAATCGTTTGCCAATTCTTCAATGGTGACCGCAATCGTGCTTGACTGGCCTTGTGCTTGCAGGCTGATTGCCACATCGCCTCTCTCCCTTACAGCTGCGCCGTGCAAAGGGGATGTGGAACAAGGCTATTAAGGCAAGGCTATTAAGCCCGGGCTATATAGCCCGTTCCCCTGATAGTTTGGCCAATAAGGAAAGAAGAGGGCCCTGGCCTGCATGCCATTTGCAGGTCCAGGTTGAATCCTGGTGCATGCCATTTGCACCAGACGTTTGGGACATGCTCCTTCTCATTTGTGAAAAGTCATATATATATATATGGCTTATATGGCCGGCCATTCTATTGGGGATTGCTGGAAGACAAGTTCCAGAAAGTACGAACCAGCACGAATGTAGTTTGTTTGTGTCCCAGTCCATCTTATATTCAAAGCCAAAAAAAGACCTGTAGCCTTGAGATGCTTTAGGACGCAGCTGCCTTGAAGATTCTTGAAGTAGCAATCGTTTCAATCCAGCTTCTGTCGCTCGGCTCAGAGCTGCCCTGTTTCATGCTGTGTGAGCAGCAGATCCTCGAACGCGTTCACTGGCCGTCTGGCCGTGGCACCCGGAAAAACTTGCTGGGATAAAAATGCGGACGTGTGTGCCACATTTTTGTTGCCATTGTCCGGATGTCTTTGTCGTAAGGCCTAAGATGGACTTTGACAGCGATGTTGCGGTGAAGGCTTTGCAATCGAGATTGGCATGCAATCTGCATATGGCTTTGGGTACATTCGCTAGCAGCGAGAGGCATGACCGGCCTTGCTGCCTCAACGCACCAGGCATGTTCTTCTTGTGCTGACGATGAGTTTGGCAGCCTGCAAACACCCCCTCGCCAGTTCTGACGCACATTGACAGGCCAGACAAACCTTCACACTCCAAAGACTTCGCCCTGCCTCGCCGAGCTATGAGCATTAAGCCCCCTTCCGAGGCACCCGCCGTGATCCTGACGTGCATAAACTTAACAGATCTGCTGCTTGCTTGTTCTGATGTAGCTCCAACTTGCCACTGTCTGCGCACATGCTAAATGTAGACATGCGCACCACTCCGGCCCTCGGACGACAGCGCTACTGTATTCGTGTTGTTATTTGGCAGTCTGCAGATCAATGAGGTAGGAGGCTGCTGCTACTTGCGTTCTTCCTTGGAATTGTCAGAATGCTGCCGGTGAACGCCGATGAACAAGTTTCATGGACCTTGAGCTACTGGTAGCGCCTGCAAAGCCATAATATGGAGCTTCCGAAGCTGACTGGCCAAAACCACACGTGCTTCCCAAAATTCCGCACTCTCCTGAGCAGTTGTTCATTCGCATGCCGGTGTCATACCTCCTGGATTATGGCTAGTACGAATTGGTGTCAAGCGGTCGATGCGTGCCGACTTGTGGGTCTGTGTCTGCATGCTGACATGTGGATGCAATTCCATTCTGGGGTGCAGAAACAATTACTTTGGTCATCTTTGTCGAGTTCTTGGTTGCTGAGCGCACAACAGGCTGGTAGCTGAAGATTCCTAGAATTGCTGTGAAATCTTGGTTACACGTGATGCAGCTGCGACATTTCACGCTCAGAGGCCTTTTCACGATGGGATTGTTTGATAGACTGCAATCTTCTCCCTGCTGCGCTCTGAATTCTGTTTCCCGCTCCAAGCCTCCATAAGCTAGGCGTTCAAGAAGTGCAGAAATGTAGGGCCTCACAGGGGAAGCCTTTCCCCTTTCGAGGCTGATGAAGAGATACGGCTTCCACCGACGAGAGGCCGCTCAGCTTTGAGTCTCCATGCTTGCATGCCAGCTTTGCAAGCGTCAGTTGCAGGCTCTTCAGTGCTTCAGCCGTCGGTGAATGCCGTGTTTCCAGAAACTTCGGACGCCGTGAAGGAGGATGATGTTTTGTGTCAGAGTGGTTGTGAGTTGGGTTGTCACCTTCCCCGGTACCACGAATCCACTTGAGGAATTAGGAAAAATGTAGGAAAATCCGTAGTTTTGAAGGTTTTCTTTCCTAGGAAAATGAAAGGAATATCTGCAGTTTTTGTAAGTTTTCCTAGGAAAAACGAAGGAACATCCGCAGCGTTCTAAATATACGAAACATATGCAAAAAAATATGCAAAAACTATGCAAAATTGCATATTTTTTGAATATTTTTTGCAATCTTTTTTGAATATTTTTTTTCGCATATTTTTTTGCATATTTCTCGTTTTTCCTAGGAAAACTTACAAAACTGTAGATATTCCTTTCATTTTCCTAGGAAAACTTTCGAAACTGCGGATTTTCCTTCATTTTTCCTAGGAAAACCTAGGAACATCGTTAATTTTGTATATTTTCACAATAAAAAAAGAGAAATATGCAAAACAAATGCAAAACATGTGCAATATTGAATATTCTTTTGCATGTTTTTTTGCATATTCTTCCTTTTCTCTAGGAAATCTACAAAATCAACGATTTTCCTAGGTTTTCCGTTTTTGCACATTTTTTGCACATTTTTGCATATTTTTTGCATGCGCTTGTGCTTTTGCATTTGCTTTTGCAACATTTGCCATGCCCTGTGGCTTTTGCACCTGTGTTTGCAAATGTTTTGCCTGCGCGGTGGTTTTTGCATTTGTTTCTGTGTCTTATTTTGCACGCGCTTTCATTTTAGCAAGATTTCTTGCATAGTTTTCGCGCGTCGCTTCACGGCCAACCGGGGGGAACCGGCAACCCTTCTAGCTATCCGCCATCCCTCTATGTTAAGCTGCTGATGATGCTATGTCAGACATCCTCGTAAGATGTAGACATTGTGGTGTGAAAAGAATACACAGTTTAACAAACGTGACACCCCGGATGAATAAACAATTTGGAACGCGTATGCAACAAACGTGACCCCAGATGCAATGACAATTTGGGCTGCAACAAATGTAACACCCCAGATGCATAGACAATTTGGGGTGCAAAAAATATGACACCCCAGATGCATAGACATTGCGGGATGCAAAAAATGTGACACCCCTGATGCATGGTCATATGCAAACACGCGCTCAAAAAATAAACTGAATTTACAGAGCCTGGCTGGCAGAGATTCTTCTAAGTCTACCACCAACCTGGGCGCTTTAGATTTTCTGCGAGGAGGCGGGGTGAGGAGGCGAGTGGCAGTGAGTATGAAAGACATTGAGCTTGAGAATCACAAGCCATCGCAAAAGCGCGGGCGCAGGAATCCGTGAGAAATGCCGTGAATATGACGTGTTTATTTCGGGCGCCTGCCATGCTGATTGTATGTAGGAGGGGAGGCGTTGGCCGAAAAAAAGGCCCACGAAGATTAGCTTATCAGGCTCGTGGTCTTCCTGCGCGAAATTATGAATTCGGCGCAAGGTACAAGAGCCTTTCGGCCCCGAGCGAACGTAAGTCATGGCGTCACTCGGTGCGTCAGGCATGACAGCGCACGCGCAGAGACATGAAAAATGAACAACGAACCCGCGCAAGCAGAAAATTCGTAGCTGCAGAGAGAAAGGGTATGTGCAGCCTTCCTTTGCTTGCTGGAACAAACACACAGATATAAATACAGGAGCGTGATGGACCATGTTTTCATTGTCAGAAAGACATCTGCTGCAAGCCGCATTTACGCTCAAGAACCTTTACCGTTGTTGTAGTCACATATCAGAACAAGTTGCCTGTTTTGCGCAAAGCTTACGGTGTTCAAACAGGAAAGTCAAGAACGCTGAAGATTTGCCTTGTTGCCTGACGTATTTAGGGCTAGGAGCCGCCTGGCGCAGCCATGTAGGAAAGCTGTTACACTTGCTTTTGCGAATCTTCAGGCCCTACGAAATACGCCATTTTGCTTGGTTGTCACTACCTTGACAACGCCTAACGCGGTTCCAGAGGGAAGCTGTTCCAACTTCACGTCGTTCGGGGCTGAGGGCTGCAGGATGACTGTGGCAAGCTCTATTTGGCTGTCTGACTGTCTGCACTGATCCATACTTTTCCGTTCGTGCCTCCCGCCTCCGTACGCGGACGAATCCTCTTTGGGGCCTGTCCATTTTGCTCTAATTCCGGACCAGCGGTTATGCCTGCCTTGCATCCTTGGAAGATGACCTGGTCATCGCATCGCAGCAGATTAGGGCATCCCTTCCCATAAACCTCCCAAAAGTTGGCTGTGGCCATCTCGTCTGTCCGCATCAAGGCGGGCCTGCCTGCGCACTGCGAACCCCGTTTCGCCGTGTGTGGATTCAGGCTGGCCTGCCTTGGGGCCATGAGAGGCGCATTCTTGCCTCTTCTCACGAGGCAAATATCCTCTACCCAGATAGATTCACTCTGGCCGTGTGAAGCCCGTGCGGATTCTTTGCTGACTCTGCATCCGTGAGCTTAGTTGTTTTTTGCTCCTGGGTGTTCAGTTGCTTTATTTCCCGCAGTCTTGACCGCCTTCCACCGGTTCCACTGCCTGCTCTCAACGCTTTGTCGCCTGCTGCGCCTGCCTGTCCATGTGCACCTGTCGTGCGACAACGCTGTTGTTGAATCTGCAGGCCCCTACCCAACTAATGTACAATGACCCTACCCGTACCCAGGTGGGGATAATTACATATTCTGGGTGCGGTTGCCATAATGTACTGAGGGGTACCTATATTGTACATTTTTCTTGGTGGGCGAGGGCCAAACGACGA